TATTGTTGACATGAAAGCCTACAGAAATATTCTATTAGTACGAGGTAGGGTCTTCGGGTGTCAGTGAGGGGACCTGAGGTAGGCAGGCAAGTTGTGCTTCCCAGTCGCCTTAAGTCACACCAGGGAGTACTCAGCTTTGTAGTAAGGCCAGACTGTTAGAGCGGCTGGATCCCTCGGCTCCTCCAGATTTTTGTGCCTGCACACATATCTTGCAACCCCCTACCCTTCTCCCCCTTTCTAGGATGGTGGGACAGGGAGTGTTCATCACAAGACTTGACAGCCAAGCATCTGGGCAGGGCCCTTTAGCAGGGCTGGTCACAGCCAGATGATGGAAGTCCAGTGGTTATAGCATCTGTGGGAGGGAAGCGCGTGCAGGGGTGGCCCCAGAGCCTTTGCTCAGAGAAAGGACCGTAGGCCAAGAGGGGAGATGGGAACCGCGGAAGCCGGTGGGTGCTGGGCACAGCACCGCAGCTCAGAGAGGGCAGGCCTCCCAGGGGACGCTGCTGCCCTCCCACCCATTGGTCATTGTCTGGTTCTCTTGATCAGTCCTCAAACCTGTGGAGTGGAATCTGCATTTTACAGATTAGCAAACCAAAAGGTCAAGAACTTGCCCTAAAACACGCAGCTAGTAATTGGCAGAGGAACATCAAACCCGGGCCTGATCCTCTGTCCCTTCCATTCTCTGAGGCTTTTCTGATCTCCCAGGCAGCTCTCAGGACGTTGTTCAGCTTTGTCTCTGTGCCTTAGCTTGCCCCGGTTGAAAGGAACATCCATGTCTGCATCGATGCCATACCTGTCCCCAGTGGGCTGCCTAGGCAGGGTCTCCAGAGTGCGCTGAGGTCTCCATGGAGAAAAGCTTCCAGTCTGGAGTGGCCTGTTCTGGAACCAGCTGTGAAGGCACCAAGTGGCCTCCTGGAGTGTGTAAAGCTAGTTTCTTCCCAGGCCAGACCAAGAAGAATGGAAGAAAGTTACTTGAGGAGAAACCTTGAAATTAGTGGTGTGCTAGTAAATATTTAACAACTGGCTCTCTGGGAGTAGGGGTGGGTAGGGCAGGGGCAGGCCCTGATTTGCAGCATTTGCTGGTGTCCATGGTGTGAATGCTCCCACCATGGCCAATTTCAAGCTACCAGTGTTTTGTCAACCAGCTTACAGAATTCCTGAAAATTTAACAATTGGCATTCACAGGCAAGAGCAAGGCGGCTCCAGCACACGCGCCTGCCCCTGGCCCCCCAGCCCCTGGCCCCCCAGCCCCTCCCCCTCTTCCTACTCTTTAGGTTGTGCTGCCCTGGAACTTCCCCCAAAACACACCTCCAGATGCCCAACCCCCCTGGCCCCCAGACCCTGTGGACAGCTGCAGGTCCTCTCCCTTTGAGCTCCAGTTCTTGGGAAATGGATGTCTCTGGCTAGAAAAAGAAATCCATTTGGAGATAAACACTCGTTCTCCAAAACCTGGAGGAAATGCAGAGTTTGCTGAATTGGCCCCTGTGAGCTATATAAATTTGAGTCATCGCCCTCCTCAGATCAGCTCTGCCGTCTTCTTCCTGTCCTCCCTCCTCTCAGCTGGGGCCTCTTGGGATGCTGGCAAGTGACCGCTTCTGAGTCACATTTTATTCTGAGGTTGCATCTTTAATCCAGCAGGGCCCTCCGCCCAGCACTCCCCAAAGTCCTCCTAGGAAGGGGGCAGTGAGAGGGCAAGGAGCCCCTCCCTCACCCTTCTCTGTACTAGGAGCTCATCGCAGTGGAAGCCCCCAGTGGATTCCTTCAAGGACATGAGAAAACTCACTCCTAGTGGGCAGAGCAGAGCATACTACTCCACCCTGCATTTCACCCTCAAACGAGCTGTGCAGACGTAGCTATGCCTTGCTTCGTGGCAGAAGTACACTCCGGAAATCTCGTGTTTCATAATAACAACCACTCCTCCATCTGTGAAGCACTCTAGAGTTTCCAGAGCACTTTTACATACTATATACATCATCAAATCTGAGCCTCGCACCAACCCTCCGCAGTGGATAGTGATTATTAAACCACCCACACAGTGTCTGAGCTTGTCAGTGTTGGAGGGGACTTCAGATGTCACCTAATGCAGCACCCAGCTAAAGCTCCCATCCTCTCCACGGTGGCCCAGCTGGCCTGTCGCTTTCTGCAGCAATTGCAGGGGACTCACTATCAGCTGGAGGCAGCCTATTCCAGCCTGAGAGAGCGAGGGGCTCGGAAAGGTATTATTTAGGTTGTCTTTGTGTTATGGATTTAATGCATCGTTTGTAGTTTGGCCGTTTGGGGCATACAGAGCAGAGCTGATATAACCTAATCGCTTCGGTCAGATATTCCAAGGGGGCTCTCATGTCTCCCCATCTCCCCCTGCCCCTAAATCTTGGATTTATTGAATATTCCAAGTTTCTTCAAACATTTCTTATAAGACGTAGTGCAGAATCCCTTCACCATCCTGGTCAACTCTCCTCTGAAGATACTCTCATGTCCTTGTTTAATCAGACTAAGACAGGACCAGAAGCTTCCTCATACTGTGAGCTATGATTCTGTCCATGCAGGCTCAGATAGCATTAGTTTAGGTTGTTTTTTTTCTGACAGATGCATTACACTTTGGACATGTTGAGCCAGCTGTCAACTAAAATACTGCTGCTAAGCCCTGCTTTGCACTTACAATATTGATTTTTATTTTTTGGCCCAAATGTTAGGAGTGTTAGATTTTAACTTCTTAGATGAAAATTAATCTTATTAGATTTAGCCGGTTGCCAAAATCTGTAAAGATCTTTTGGATCCCAGTTTCATATCATTTGTAAATTTGTTGAGCATTTCTTCAGACATTCCCTAAATCACTGATAAAAATGTTGAAGAGGACTAAAGAGGAAGTATGTGGTAGTCTTCTGGAAACCTCCCCCAAGCTGACATCTGTACTTTAATTGCCATCCTTTGGGTGTAGTTTACTAATCCACACATAATTGTCCACCAGGCTACATCTCCATGTTTTCCACAAGGGTATCATGGGAAATACCTTGCTGAAGTCAGTTATACCAGGATTTCGTGATCTGCAATTTTAATAATCATGTCAGATCCACAGATTGAGCTCCATGCTAGCAGGCATTCATCTTTGTGACCCCAGAGCCTTGCACAGTGCCTGGTACATGGCAGGGACTCAAGAAATATCTGAAGAAATGATAGGTTGGGTTAGTGAAGGAATGAATGAACCTGGCCCAGATCAACACGAAGATTACCAGTATTTAGTTTTTTTCCGAACCCACCTCCTTCTCTCTTTTGAAAACTGGAACAACATTTGCTTCTACTTTCTTTCTTATAGTACCTCTTTCATACCCATGAATCCTAAAAGGCCACCAATTTGCCTACAGATAAGAAAACAGGAGTTTGGGAAAAGCAAGAGATTTGCCCAAGGTCAAAGGCTGGTAGAGGATTCAAGCCATTGTCTGCTGGCTTCAAGGCACCATGATGCTATGTCTAGCCTCATACCTGCTGAGTCTGGGAAGGTTCCCCCAGCTCAGACAATCGGGGCAAGGACATTTCTCCTTACAAAAAATGATACAGTGCAGAAAAGCAGATTGCTTTCTTTTATAATCTCAACCTCATTCACCATCCATCATTCATTAGTTCCTTGATTCTATAAATATTTATCAAACACCAGACTGTTCTGGGCCCTAGGAATACTACTGTTACAAGCCCTCCTTGAGCTTAAGTTTTAGTCGGGAGTGGGGAGAAAGCAAATAAGCAAATAGATATACAGTCTATGGTCATGGTATGGGCTGGGAAGAAAAATACAGCAAGAGGCAGAGGGGCTATATTGTACTTCAAAGAGGCAGCATCTGAGTGGGTTTCTAAAGGAAGAGAACAAGACGTGCACGTGTCTTGGGGACACACACACCAGCAATGATGTGCTCCTATTCACAGAAGTACGTTGTGTTTCCTTCCAGAAAGCAAGGACTAGATCGTGTGATGAACTTTCCTGCTGTAAAATATCTGACTCTTTCAAGGCACATTTATTCACTTATTCACTCACTCATTTTCTCAGCAAATATTTTGTTTTATTAAACATCAGACTTTTTTATTGAGTGCGTGCCAGGTGGGAGTTGGGGATGAAAGGGTGAACAGGACCTCAGGGAAGGAGACAGACAAGCACAATATGATAGGGGCCACCGTGGGGCTATGGACAGGGCGGTGGGAGAGGACAGCTGAGGTGTGTCACCCTTCACACTTTTAGGGATCTATTTAACTGAAGGGAATGTAATAGCATTAAATTCCATAATGATGGTTTTCAAAAGTTTTAAAACCATGAACCATTACTTTAAAACATACCTTTTATAGAGAAAGTCCAATATATAGTATTAAAAGGAGTCGCTCTGGTTGGCACAAAATTGGAGGCCTCAGGATACCTTCAAAAACATGTAACATTTTATGAAAACCACTGCCCTAAGTATTTGTTATGGCCAAGAACAAGAATGTGTCCATTGTCCGCTAAAACCTGTATGCCTTCCAGTGGCCAGGTAAACCGAATTAGGAGAGCCATTCGGTCATCAGTCAAAGCCATTGGGACCGTTAGCTCTGGCCTGCGTCAAAGGGAATAAATAAATCTGTGCCCAAAGGAGAACTGAGTCAGCTACTTTTTTCCTGCTCTTCAAAGTCATCAATCAAATTTATACAGTCCCTATGACTCATAAGCACAATTTAAAGAGTTCACCATATTGTTTTTTTCTACCTCTGGGCAAAGGTCACCACACTTGCATCAAGAATCATCTCTTTCAAAGTACGCTGCTGCGTATCACCTGGTTTGGGGTGGCTGAAGTGATTTCTAGAACATCCTCATTTGAAGAAAGCCCCGCTGTTGTTCCCACTGTAGCACAGGTGTGAATGGACGTTTGTCCTGTGCTCACACTCTCTCCAGGCACACCGCAGGCCAAGATAGGCCTCACACTCCAGCTCGGCGCCCAGCACCCCGGCCCTGCTAACGCACCCCGGCCCCTTTCTTCTCTCCGCAGATGACGGCAACCGCCCAGCCACCCTCCAAGGCCCAGGCTGTCCACATCTCGGCGCCCTCGGCTGCTGCCAGCACACCTGTGCCCAGTGCCCCCATCGACCCCCAGGCCCAGCTGGAGGCTGACAAGCGAGCTGTTTACAGGTAGGAGACGCTTCAGAGTGTGCAGAGCTCCCCCCAGGCCCAGCTCGGCAGTGAGAGATGAGCATGCCAGCCGAAGGGTGGGCTCGTGACAGACGATGGAATAGCCATTCTCCTCTGCCTCCTCTATCAAGCCAATCCAGAAATTCCAATGGCCATGGCAGGTTGACTCTAGCTTCCTGGAAATGTAAGGGATAGGAGGAGCCGGGCACTGTCTCCCAGGAGCACCCCTTCCCATGTCAGCTGTGGAGCTGAGCCCTAAACAAGCTTCAGAACCCTTCAGATCAGCCGGCAGGCAGCTGCCTCCGGACCCTCTCCTTGCCCTGTCCTCCACTGTTGCCTTCACTCTGTCAAGCCCACCAGAGCACTGGACATCTGATTACACCCTCTACGACTTGGCACTACACAGCTTTAATATGCATGAAAATCAGAGAGCTCGTTAAAGCATATGGTTCTGGGCTCTGTGCTCAGAGGTGTTAGATCAGTAGTAGGTCAAGCTATAGGAAGAGGGTTATGAATTTTCCTTAAAACATCCAGGTGAATCTAATGCAGCTGGTCCTTGGACTACACTTTGACTCATGGTAGCCCTTTGCTTTTTAGCAATAGGTGTTGGGTGTGATGGCATAAGTTCTGGCACTCTCCCCCAAGACGGGGAGTTTGCTAAGAGCAGGCAGCTTGTTTCTTCTCATTCTGTGTCTGCCCCATGCACCCAGGGTTGGTCCTGGATGTTGCAGAGGGTGGGGGTGAGGCTCAGGGAAGTGTCCATCTGCGTTGATGACTCCAGTTCTCATGTATGTGGTTGAGGAAGAAGATGCAGTCACCTGAGAACAGGCTTAAAGAGGCTCCAGCGGGAACTTTAGTTGTCATTTATCCACAGGGAGTCCACAGCAGTGAGAAGAGGTGCAGGAGTCTGCACTCAGCACTGGGGTTGGACGTTCACTTGTGTGAGCCCGTGTGCTCACATGCCTCTGCACGCGCGGCTCTGCTCCGGCTGGGCATACGCCGCACGGGTACTAATGCCAGCAACACGTGGAAGGAATGATCCACCCAAGACAAGTGAATAGGAAGATTGATTCCTTTCTCATTCCTCCCCCACCACCCCAATGACAGCACCTTTATGGTAATGGAGGTGATTAGTGCTGTTATGATCATTATCACTGGCATTATTTTTAGTTACTCAGATGAGCTGAATGCCTCTAATATCAACAGTTGGGAGTCTGAAGCAATGGGCCTTGCTCCACGGATCCTGGCACCAGGGCCTTCCCGGGTCTGGGGAAGGATAAAACACAGTAGCTGGCACCCCCTGTGCAAGGCACAGGCCAAGCCCCACTGCCTGCGGGTGGAGAGCTCTGCCTTGGGCCCCAAAGGACTCCAGGATCTGGTCACAGTCCCTGTCAGGGAGACTCTACAGGAGGGTATCCAGCCTCTCACGGCGTGGGACGGCCCTCCTGTCCCCCCTCCCCTCCTTCCTTCACTCTCTTGTATTGAACTTACTATTCATATAAGCCCGACTCCAAGGGAAAGAGGGTGAGATGAGAGGGTGCGTGCATAGACTCTTCCCTTTGTCTCTCCAGGAACTGGTAGATATACAGACAAGAAACCAACACTGGGTGGTCAGAATAACAGGGGAGGCTTCACAGAGGAAGCATTATTTGAAGTTGTTCTTAAAAACTGAGTAAGAGACCCCCCAAGGGAAAAAAAGGGGGGAAAAAAGAACTTCCGGGCCGAACAAAACCCGGGGGGTCCAAGAACCGCCAAGGGCCCGAACAACCGGGGGCCCGGGGAGGAGGCTGCACCGCCACTGCCAGTTAACCTGGGCTGTGTGTGGGCTTGTGCTCCCGTGGGGCGCTTAAGAAGGGAGAGGGAAGTAACGTGGCTTCTGAAAACTTCCTGGCAGCCTGATGACTTGGGCTGGGCTCTATTTAGATCATTGCTACACAAAGCATGGTTCATGGACTAGCAGCTTCTTGTCACCTGGGAGCTGATTAGAAATGCAGACTCTCAAGGCCCAAGACCTCAGGATTCACGATTTGCACTTTCACAAGATCCTAGCACCTGCTCAGACCCCTGGGGGTGGGACCCATGGTGAGCATAGATCACAGTCCAGAAAGTCTCCTAGATTAGTGGTATAACAAAAAGATCTTTGGAAACCTAGACTTGAGTCATACTTCCACCATGTACTGGTATCTATGAGTTTTCGTTTCATGATAGAACCTAAGCAGCAGGTTTGATAAGAATTAATGAGAACACTATTCAGGTGATGGGCACATTGATAGCCCTGACTCAAGCCCTGTAACAAAAACATTTGTACCCCCTTCATATTTTGAAATTACAAAAAAAAAAAAAAAAAAAGCATGAATGAGACAGCCCATGTAAGAACCTGGCACCATGTTTGACACCAAGCAGATGGGTCCCCTGGTCTTGTCAGTGGGATCCATGGGCCCCAAAGCCCTTCCCAAGATCCCAGGCGCATACCCCACCCAGGCCAAATTGCAGAGTGGTGGATCACTGTCCCCATGGGAGCTGTCCACCACGTTGTCACTTGAAGTATGGCCCAGACCTTTCTTCAACCAACACTTCTTCCTGCTCACCTTCGCTCCTGGGCTTGATCTCCTCCCACGAGGCTGACCACCCCACAGCCTTGGCCCTTGCTCAAAGTGTGTCGGCAGCCCTGTGACCCTGACGAGGGAAGCCCAGGCAAACATGGCGGCCCCAGCACCTCAAGCGGCTGAGCTGACGGCACCCCTGGGCCCTGCTTCCCATCTCTCCAGTCCTGTGCTGCCTCCCCACCCAGCCACCCCAGGGTTGTCTCCCATAACCACACCTCTCCCATTAGTACCAGCCATGGCCAGGGAAGAGCAGGGAGGGGAGCAGCCTCCTGTAGGGTCCGGTAATTTTAATTAGATTTGCCTGCCGGGGCAGCCTGGCTGATCCGAGGCACATCAGGGAGTCGGCATTTCACGTCAGTAAGTGTGACCTGACCCTTTCCTTTCAGATTAGTGCCCAGCACTGACTTTTAGGAGCCCTCACCACAGCCCCTCCCAGAACCACAGATGAAGGAAGGGTGGGTGGCCTCTCCCTGCTCAGACCCCTGCTGGGTGGCAGAGGGGCAGTGTGACAGAAGTGGGGGAGCCTGCCAGCACCAGGGAGGCCGTGTTTGTGTATGAGGATGTGTTAATGAAACGTCCTGGTTCCCTTCTGATGTGGAAACGATGGTTGTGGGGCGGGAGGGGAGGGCAGAGTCTGTCTGTAATTGGATCATACCGGAGCATCCTCTGGGCTAATCAGCCCGACGACCAGGAGCTCCCACTCAGACTCATGATTCCGGTGTAATCCGAGATGCTGTGATTGGAGGCGCATCTCTGGTAATTGTGTCTGTGGCCCAGGAGCAGTGCTGAGAAGGGGTCTGAGGAGGGGAGGCCTGTGGGTGAGGGAGCGCAGGTTGGGACCCAGCTCAGTTCTCACCTTCCCCGCCCCCACCTCATCCCTGGCTTTTCCCCCAAAGAAGTTCACACTTAGCTTGAGCCCCAACACCCACCCACCCGTGCTGGTGGCCAGTGGCCAGGTGTTGGGTGCTGTCTGAGAGGGGATTAGGTTGTCAGGAGCACAGAGATAGGGGCCAAGCGGGTGAGGTTAATCCAGCTTTCCTGCTCCCCTCCCCTCCCGTCTCCTTCCTTCCCCTTTGAAGTCAGTGGGTTCCCATGGAAACCAGGGTGTCCTGAGGAGCAGAGAGAAGGGGCTGGGCCTGGCCAGGTGCGGGTGGGGGAGGAGGTTGGCTTTCGAGAGTGCTCTGCTAAGGTGTTGGCTCTCCCCACCGGGGCTCCACTGGCTGAGAAGCCGGGAAGTGGCCCACCCGGCAGCGGCAGCGCTGAAGAAGTTGCCCATTATCAATAAGAAAACGCTGGGCTGGAGGCATGAGCAGCGCGGAAATGGCGAGGGCAGTTGTGCTTTGCTTCTCCAGCGGGAATGCTAGAGAGGAGGCTGTGGTGGCAGGTGCAGAGGGGGAGGTGGCTTCCGGACCCTGCAGTCCTCCTTTGCAGCATAGCTCTCTATTGAATAAATTGTGTGAGCATTAGTGCTAGCATCGTTTCTGTTTCCCCCGTAGATTGTTAAGGTCTGTCTAGTTCATGGCTTTATCCCCAGCACCTTATACAATACCTTGGAGTTGGCAGCTTAGACAAAGTAGGTACTGAAGTCAAAGCTTATGGGATGGCTTCATTAATGAGGCAGAATCCCACAAATATACCATAGTTCTAGGTTGATGTGCTGCCAAATGGCTCTTGGGGACGAGGGGAGGGGGAAGGCTCTGATCTGTAGCGTTTGCTGATTTCTGTGGTGTAAATGCTCCCACCATGGTCCATTCCACACTGCCAACGTGAAGCCACGGAACGGAGTTGGGAAGAGACGTGTGCAGTCGGCTCTCAGCAGCCTCACGGCACGACCTCACACAGGGAGCCAAGTTACACGTGCACAGTCTCTATTTTCAAACAGGGAAGCTGGTTCTTTAGAATGGTCTCACTGATACCTTTAGCCATGATCCTACATTCTTAGTCCTCGCTGTCCTGTCTGGTCCACCCTTGGGTTCTAAATATGAAATGTTCTCTCTTAACGAATTACTACTTAGTGCCTGATGTGGAGTAAGTGCTCGTAGGTGTCTGCTGTGATGATTTTCTACCTGAATGTCAATGCAGTGAATTTCCTCCTTTTTAAACTACCCAGTGCTCTCTCTTTCCATCTGCTTGAGCAAAGGCCCACCTTCACTCCCAAATTCTCCACCTTTTCCAAGCTGCTTCCCTGCCTTTCCCGGTTTATCAGTAAATGCGCTCTGTCCTGGCAGCTTTAGAAACCCAGCCTCGAACCATTCTTCTGCTGCTCTAGTTTCTCAGCTCTCAGAATCCTGACCTTTCCATACTGCATGTCTAGTTTCTCACATCAGTCTCATCTCCCGTACGCCAGAAGCTCAGAGCTTCTCCCCCCAGAGAGCTCATGCTGTAGTCCAGCTC